TGGTGGGGGAGGTGGTGGGAGAGGGGGAGACTGGGGATCGGGACGTGCGGGGAGTGGGGGCAGTAGGGAGCGGTCATCACCGGCAGCACCAACGAGAGCCAGGTGTGTGGTGGGTAGTGGGGTGATGGGGGCATGGAGGGAGGAGGGTGAGGAGGAGTGGGGAGCGTTGGGTGGGGGGTGTGGAGACAGGTGTGTGGAAAGCACCATGGAAAGCCAGGTGCGTGGTGAGTGTGGGGGGAGGAGAGAGTGGGGGGAGGAGAGAGTGGGGCGAGGGGAGGGGGGTGTTGTGGGAGTGGGGAGAGGGGTCTGTGGTCCGGTGCAGGGTCAAAATCCATAGAGAGGGAGTGCAGGGAATGCAGGTTCAACATTGTGTGTGTTACTGTGCATGTGCACGGATGCATGCATGGCAGATAGAGGAGAACATGAAGGCACTGGAGGTGATGCCGAAGCTGACCCCCGCAGTCATGGAGCGGATAGATGCCATCATGCGCAACAAGCCCAAGCTGCCCGACTCCTTCCGTTAGACCAGCCCTCGCTGCAGCACAGCACAGCAGAGGAGCACTATGAGGGTGCAGGGCCGGTGCAGGGCCGGTGCAGGGCCGGTGCAGGCAGGTGGGGGTTACTTCCTAAGTACTAGTCGACCCAGAAGTTAAGAGAGCAGGAGGAAGATGAGGACGCCGGGCAGGGAGACGCAGGAGAGGGTGGAGCAAGCGGAGTGTGGATGAGATGAGAGGGTGCTTGCTCCCATGGAATATATACTAGTGCTAGTGTATGATGGAAAGGGTTGAACAGTGGGGGTTCTCTAGCAGTGGTACCTCCAGAATGTATGCTGAATTGTGGATTGTAGCAAACTTGTCTGCCTGTAATACAGTAGCATAGTGCCGGTCATGTAGCACTGCCGTGGCACACTTGTTTGAGCTCAGTGTGTGCTTCGGTTCCTGTGATAGAGGTTGTGTCGAGTTGCATTGAGTAGAGAGGGATACGTACAACAGAATGGAAAGAAAAGAAAAAGAACCCACATTCACATATCAACCCACCATCTACTACGAGTACTAGGGCCCACTGATACACCGCATGAACAATTTGATTAGCCTGGCCCTCAACTTCACCTCCCTCTACGACCCTTCCTGCTACCCTTGCGCGAACTCTTGCGAGCAGAGCCAGAAGAATCCCCCGGACCACTTGAATCTTGCTGGCTGATAGAAGAACCCCCTGATGCTCCAGCGGGGCCTGACGTGTGGGATGAGTCGGGGTCGGGCGCGTCGGAGCTTGGTGTTTCTGCCAGTGGGTCATCATCTTGGGTGGAGTCCTCAGACATCAGAGCTGTGACGCCCAGTGATAGCTGTGATGACAACGCAGGTGCGGGCTGTGGGACAGGCGCTGCTGGGGTTGTGGTCCTGCCTGGTGGTGGGCGGAGGCCAGGTGGAGGGGTGAGGGCGGGAGGAAGGGTGAGGGCAGGAGGAGGGTTGAGGGCAGGAGGAGGGTTGAGGGCAGGAGGAGGGTTGAGGGTGGGAGGAGGGGTGAGGGCAGGAGGGGCGGGGCCAGGAGGAGGGGTGAGGGCAGGAGGAGGGGTGAGGGTGGGAGGAGGGGTGAGGGCAGGAGGAGGGTTGAGGGCAGGAGGAGGGGTGAGGGCAGGAGGAGGGGTGAGGGCAGGAGGAGGGGTGAGGGCAGGTGGAGGGGTGAGGGCAGGAGGAGGGGTGAAGGCAGGAGGAGGGGTGAGGACAGGTGGAGGGGTGAGGACAGGTGGAGGGGTGAGGACAGGTGGAGGGGTGAGGACAGGAGGAGGGTTGAGGGCAGGAGGAGGGTTGAGGGCAGGAGGAGGGTTGAGGGTGGGAGGAGGGGTGAGGGCAGGAGGAGGGTTGAGGGCAGGAGGAGGGGTGAGGGCAGGAGGAGGGTTGAGGGCAGGAGGAGGGTTGAGGGCAGGAGGAGGGTTGAGGGTGGGAGGAGGGGTGAGGGCAGGAGGGGCGGGGCCAGGAGGAGGGGTGAGGGCAGGAGGAGGGGTGAGGGTGGGAGGAGGGGTGAGGGCAGGAGGAGGGTTGAGGGCAGGAGGAGGGGTGAGGGCAGGAGGAGGGGTGAGGGCAGGAGGAGGGGTGAGGGCAGGTGGAGGGGTGAGGGCAGGAGGAGGGGTGAGGGCAGGAGGAGGGGTGAGGACAGGTGGAGGGGTGAGGACAGGTGGAGGGGTGAGGACAGGTGGAGGGGTGAGGGCAGCAGAAGAAGTTTGGGGAGCAAGGTTCCCGAACGAGAAAGATTCAGCATCAGAATCCTCTGCCCCAGCCATGCCAGCAGCACCAGCAGACAAGGCAGATGCAGTAGAGGTAGCAGCAGCAGGGGCAGAAGCAGCAGAGGCAGGAGCGGCGTATTGCAGCTCTCCCATGAAAGCCCCCTGTGCGTGAAGTGCAATGGGCGCTTCCCCATCCCCATGCACGGGCCCAGCACCATGCCCAGGACCACGTCCAGCGCCACCGTCAGGTTCACGCTCGAGCTCAGGCTCGGATTCATCTTGGGGTGCAGGTTCGAGTTCATGCTGCCTGAAGAGCGGTGGGGGAGGTGAAGCAGCTTGCTGCCCTCCCACATGCACATCCCCATGCGGGGGGTGCTCCTCCCAAGCCCCGCCCTGCTGTGAGTCGTCCACAGACAACACAGTGTCCTGGCCTCTCCCTGTCTCAACAGCACCACCACCCGGCGCCCTACCATCGCCGCTACTTCCAGGCGGGGGCAAGGAAGGGTCTGGTGCAGGAGAGAACTGGAACGGTGCAGGCTGTTCTGCGGGTGGTGGGGCAGGCGGTGGGGTGTGTGAGGCGGGTGCGGGCTTGTCAAGGTAGAACTGCAGCGACACCTCTTGGATTTCCTCTTGCTCGCCAGCCTTGGCGCCCGCAGCAGCTGCAGCAGCAGCAGTGGTAGCAGCGGCGGCGGCTCCTTCAGAGGCCGTGGGGAGCGGGTGGGGGTCGTGAATGGTCACCCGCGTGTCTGCTGCTTCAGAGCCAGCACTCCCAGCAGCACCAGACCCACCGCCCGAACCAGACACGGGCGGGAACCCATGGGTGGCAGCAGCGGCCCCGCGGGGCGTGGCCATGGAGCGCATGACGGCGCTGAGCTCCTCGTCCAGCGTGTCCTCGTGCCCCCTCAGCTCCACGCGCATCGCCTCTATCTCCGCGTCCACCAGCACCGCTGACTCCGCCTTTTTCTGCTCCTCCTCGTCGCCCCCCAGGTGCTGCCGCCGCACCGCCTGCAGCGCGTTCACCACCTCGCTCATGGAGGGGCGCAGCGCCGTGCGCTGGTCCGTGCACCGCACTGCGATGTCCGCGATCAGCAGCAGGGCCGCGTCGGGCGCGTCGGGGAGGGCCGGGTCACGGATGGCACTGGCGTCGCTGGAGGCCATGGCTTGCTTCGCCTGAAGGGAGTGAGGGGTGGGGGGGAAGGGGAGGGGGGAGCATTGAGAAGTGTGAACACTGATGGAGGGGAGGAGAACCATGCGCTGGTCCGTGCAGCGGACTGCGATGCCCGCGATCAGCAGCACGCTGGAGGCGACGGCGTTTTCGCCTGGGGGGTGTGACGGGCGGTGAGGGGATTGGAGGGATGGGGGAAGGAAAGGGAGGAAAAAGCGGACGGGTGAGGAGGAATAGGGAGGAAGGAGATGGTGGTGGAATCGTGAGAGGTAGTGGTGATGGCTTGCGTTTGAGAGCATGTTGAGTGCATACTGAGAATGTTGAGTGCATACTGAGAATGTTGAGTGCATACTGAGAATGTTGAGTGCATACTGAGAATGTTGAGTGCATACTGAGAATGTTGAGTGCATACTGAGAATGTTGAGTGCATACTGAGAATGTTGAGTGCATACTGAGAATGTTGAGTGCATACTGAGAATGTTGAGTGCATACTGAGAATGTTGAGTGCATACTGAGAATGTTGAGTGCATACTGAGAATGTTGAGTGCATACTGAGAATGTTGAGTGCATACTGAGAATGTTGAGTGCATACTGAGAATGTTGAGTGCATACTGAGAATGTTGAGTGCATACTGAGAATGTTGAGTGCATACTGAGAATGTTGAGTGCATACTGAGAATGTTGAGTGCATACTGAGACTGTTGAGTGCATACTGAGACTGTTGAGTGCATACTGAGAATGTTGAGTGCATACTGAGAATGTTGAGTGCATACTGAGAATGTTGAGTGCATACTGAGAATGTTGAGTGCATACTGAGAATGTTGAGTGCATACTGAGAATGTTGAGTGCATACTGAGAATGTTGAGTGCATACTGAGAATGTTGAGTGCATACTGAGAATGTTGAGTGCATACTGAGAATGTTGAGTGCATACTGAGAATGTTGAGTGCATACTGAGAATGTTGAGCACATTCGCTAATCAAGGTGCTGGGAAGTGGGACATGGCAGGGGTGCGAGTGTGGAGGTACCACATGGCGTGGTGGGTTTAGAGTTGAAGGTGGGTGCACATACGAGGTCGCGCAGGTGCGTGAACTTCTTCTGTGCGGACTCCACCACATCCTGCCCCGTGAGCATCACCAGGATGAGCACTCCAAAGCTGTGAACGCCGTGCACGCGCGGGGGACGGGGGTGGAACGGGGGAGGTGGAAGGAGGGAAACGAGGGCGGAGGGAATGAAAGGCAGGCAGGGACAATGAGCTTGACAGAGCTGCAGTGATAACAAAGGAGTGCGCGAGGGGCTCAGGGGCGCTAGTGACGGAGAGAGAGGTGAGATAGGAAAAGGAGCGAGTGAGGGGTGGACCATAGATGTGGCGGCACAAGAGAAAGAAGAGGCAGAAAGACATGGAGCAAGAATAGCACTAGTGGCACGCAGCAGGGTGAGCCTTCCATGGACCTTGGACGGGCAGAAAGGCATGGTGCCATGGAGGAGAATGGGCACATGTAAACAAACATTAGCATTCAGCTGCCCACACCAGCAGCACGACACAACGATCCATCAGCGGCACAGCAGCGCACCCACACAGCAGCAGCGCATGGCCACGGCAGCTCCACACGCACCTGTAGACGTCAGTGGCAGTGGTGGCCTTCTGAGACAGCAGGTATGCGGGGTCCACATAGCCCGGCGTGCCCATCACCCTCGTCGCCGACAGACTCCCCGGCCCCTCCTCCTGCCGCACCAGCCCAAAGTCCGCTATCTTCGCCTGTACGCACGCGACAGATGGTGGTGTGGTAGCGTGGTGGCGTGGTGGCGTGGTGGCGTGGTAGCGTGGTGGCGTGGTGGGATGGTGGGGGTGAGAGGGGGAGATGGTGGCAGGAAGAGAGAGAACAGGAAAGGGGAAAGGATGCAGGAACATGGGGGTGGTGTAGAGGGAAAAAGCGGCAAGATGGCAATTGAAGTGTGGAGGGGAGGTCCATGGGACATGGACAAGAGGGCATGGAGGGCTCGGAGGAAGATAGCAGGTGATGCCTTTGCTGTATCCCCCATCTGCAGAGGACAAAGTGGAGAGGAAATAGAAAGAAAAGCACGCATGCAGGGGACAAGGCAGGGGACGAGGCAGCAAGGGAGGAGCAGGGGAGGCAGCGTGCCTGCATGTCGTTGGTGATGAGGATGTTAGCAGGCTTGATGTCCCGATGCACGATGTTGAAGCTGTGCATGTACTCAAAGCCCCTCGCTGCTCCTATCAGAATGTCCACCCGCTGCCGTATCGTCAGCGAGCCTGCCGCCTCTGTAATGATGCACACACGCGGCATTGTACACACATGCACGTGTACATGCACGCACATGCACATGCACATGCACATGCACATGCACATGCACATGCACATGCACATACATCCACACACACCCATGCATACATGCCGGCAGTGACACAGAGTAGGAGAGGGGAGGCGAAACGAGCATGAGACGGGCAAGCGGCACCAGATGCAAGTTACATTCACACTCAACAGCAGCAACTGCCAAAGCGATAACGCCAAGTCAACCAAGACCCGTCCTTGTCATCCCCACTCATTCACTGGGACCTCTCCAGAGGCCCCTTCCTGGTCTCTGTAGCCACATGAGCACACAGCATAACCTGAGCACGCTCACATGCAATCCTCACGAATGACTGAAACAACTGCCGGGCACTGTTGGCACTCACTGCGCCCTACCCCCCCACCAGCATCTCCCAATGCCATTACTCACTGCACCCCCCCTCCCCCAGTATCTGTGAGAGCCCCCACTCACTGGGGCCGATCCAGTGGTCGAGGTCGCCGTTGGGCACGAACTCATAGATGAGGATCTGCTCCTGCTGCTCCTTGTCCGCCTCGTCGCAGTACCCCAGCAGGCGCACCAGGTGCGGGTGGTGCTTGGTGGCCATCTGCCGCACCTCCGTGTCAAAGTCCTCTGTCACCACGCGCCCGCGCTTCACCGCCCACCGCGTGCTGCTGTCGCGCGGGTTCACGCCCTGGTACACGTCGCCGAAGCCCCCCGCGCCCAGGCGGTTGTCGGGCGCCCAGTTGTTGGTGGCCTTCTTCACCTCCGCTAGCGAGTACTCCACGAATGCCTCCACGCTTTGCACTGGCGGAGGAGGGGGGGGGAGGTGGGGACGAAGAGGGGAAGAGGGGGAAAAGGGTGGGGGAGAGGCGCTGGTTTTGATTTTTGCCATGGCAGCAGGTAGGGAGTGATTGGGAGTTGGGTGGAGAGCTTTTGATGGAGGGAGGGGGTGTACTCCTCCACACATGCATCGGCGGTTTGCACAGTAAAAAGGGGAGAGAGCGACGGAGGGGGGATTCAAGGGCAAGCAAGGGGAGCATGAAAAAGACACCTCTCCTTCCCCTCTCTCCCCCTCTCCTCTAAACCATCTCTCCCTTGCCTCCGGTTTTCCCCTCTCCGCGTTGTTGTGGAAGATGGAGAACTATATGAACACCTCCATACTCTCCCTCCCCCTCGCCCACACGCCCCTCTATCCCCACGCATGCACGGACCTCGAGCGGACGCGCCCATGCCTCTGCGCTTCTTGAGGCGCTGGTAGATGAACCACCCGCCCAGCGCGCCCACCAGCAGCACCACCGCCAGTGACACCCCCACGGCGATGGCCACCGTGCGCGCCACCGGTGCGCCTGCACGGTGATGGTGGGTGAGCGGGACAGGGGGTTGGGGTTAGGTGTTCAGGGGTAGGGCATGCAGCAGTTTCAGCAGTCTCAGCAGCAGCAGCAGAAGCAGCTGGTGCTCGCACTGTCATGCCAAGCCAAGGCGCCTAACACAGCACACAATGCCTCTACCTCATGATGCCTGTTGCACACAAGCCCAAGCCAAAGGCAGTCATCGCAAATGCATCTATCTCATCCCCTCTCTCTCGCCCCCCTCCACACCTCCCCTTCTCCTCTAGCCTCACTGTTTGTTCCCTTGTACCCCCCATAAGCACTCCTCCTGACCAACCTCCCAATTCCCTCCCCTTTCCCCCTTCCCCTTGTACCTGCACTTGCGTCCCCGACCCGTGCGTACCAGCAAGGCAGGCGGAGCAGTAGTGGGGGCAGAGGTGGCAGAAGCGCGAGGCATTGGAGAGCGGCGAGACGC